GAATCGAACTCGAATCCGACCCTTCTCCCCTCTCTCCGCGTTCCTTCCTCGAGATTCGCGAAACGCGACCGATCACAGCCATGGTATTCGAGAATTGGAATCGCGTAAATAACGCGGTCGAGGTTCGAGCAAGCAACGAGCACGAACGGAGGGGAGAGAAGGGAGAACGACGCGCGATAAAGTGAGAGGAAAAGGAAAGAGAAGAAAGAACGATCGAGCAGCGAAGGTTCCGGCAATTTTACGAGATTTAACTCGAAATCAAGCTTCTAATCGAGATCTCTCGACGCGTTGATTGAGCGAACGATCGAGTGGCACGATCCAAAAAGGGAGACGCGTCCTTACGCGAGAACAGCGTCGAGGACGGCCGAGAAGCAACCGGAGGTAAGTGGCACGAGCTGTCGCGTGCACTGGCACGCCGTGACGGAACGACAACAACGGAACAGGTGCGTGGAACGAGAAGGGCTTGCTGCGCACCATCTGCCCGCGTGTGCGTCGGTATACGAACTCTTGGACGAGCGAGCACGCATACATACATATCTACCTACCTACCTACCTACCTACCCATTCATCCATCCATCTATCTACCTACCTACCTAGCTACCTAGCTACCTACCTACCTCGTTGCTCCTTGGTTTACGAGCGTCGATGCCGGCCAAGCGTCGTATACGCGACGAAGAAGAGACAGGAGGAGAAACGAAGGGAAAAGAAGGGAAAAGAAGAGAGAAGAAGGGGGAGAGCCGGCGAGTCTCTCGGACGATCGCGATCAGCGGGACAAAGCGAAGCGACGCGTCACTGGCGACATCTAGTAGCGCGTACTCAGCTGTCAGATGGGTACGCGCCGCCTTCGACCCTCTACCGTCTCTTCCTCTTCGACCGTTTCTTCCTCTTTTCCTCGAAAATCTTTCCTTCGCGTCCCGTCCATTCCATACCCCGCGCCATTCTCCTTCCATCTTGGACGGAGAACGATCGAACGATCGCGAATCGCGAGAATCGCGTTACGACGCGGACACGAATCTTTGCGTCCTTGATTCGTCACGGGTGTGTTTGATTGCGTTGGCTGGTTCGTATCGGCGAACCGGCACGGAGACAAAGAGATCGAGGTCGACTTACCGGAGTCGAGGTATTGCCACGCATCCGTGATATACTCGGCGCCAAAGCGTCGACGAGGCTACGCATCCGTCGATGAATCGAAACTCGGCTCATTTGACGAGCGGGAAAGCTCGATAGTTTGCGTTCGAAACGTTGCGCTCGTTGCTCTCTCCTTCCCTTTACACTCTCGCCGATAAATGCCGCGCACATACACACGCGCACACGCGCGGTACGCGGAAAATCACCGTTCGAAGAATCGAAGCTGCGGTTACCGGGTTACGTTCGCGCGGGGCAAGCTCGACCACCGACTACCGACGCGACTCGAACGCGTCAGCTGCTCGCCGCAGCTGCACTAAAGTTCCGTTGCGAGAACTTCCACCACGTTCGTATCGTTTCAGCGTAACGAGGTTCCGTGGCTGCGTGTTGTTGGACTAGCTAGCCAGCAGCAGCGGTACAGGGGGGAAAGGCGACTGGAAGTGGTCGAGAAGAGTGGTGGCCGCACGGCACTCGGGACGGCGCGCCGCGGTGGTGGCGGCGGCGGCGGTGGTGGCGGAGGTGGCCGGTGAAGTAGCAGCGCGGGAAGCTGGTGAAGGAACAACGGCTCGGGAAGGAGAAGGAGGAAGAAAAGGAGGAGAGTGGGTTTGCTCGGACAACCGGTGAAGAGAACGGCAGAGGAGAAACGAACGGGATGGGTGGGAGAATGTTTCGACTCGCTCTCTCTCTCTCTCTCTCTCTCGTTCCTGCGTTAACGACGTGCCGATTCGATTACCCATCGGTTCGAAATTTTCACGTTTCTTTCTCGTTGCCTGTGTTACACATTGGCCGTACGCGCGAATCGAATCTATTTGGGTCCATCGCTGACCCTTCTACACACCACCACTGCTGATAAGATAGACGGTCGAGAACCGGCCGAGAAAGGTGGAATGAAGAGGGACGAGGAGGAAGAATAAGAAGAAGAAGAAAAAGTTTTTTTATCCGACAATGGAGGTGGCGTGAAGAGGGGAAAGGGAAGGAAAAGAAGCGAGGCTATCGCGATTGTCTCTGCGCTCGATCGGAATACCGAGCTGGAAAATACCGATCGTCGAAACGTAAAGAACGAAGATCCGACGAGATTCCAAACCGACGAGAATCCGTCTCCGACCAATTTTCGATAATAACGGCCATTCTATCCACGGTGTTCCACTTCGATAATCGGTATCGGTCCGCGCGCATTCAATAATAACCGCGTTTTTACGAGATATCCGGTGTCGGGATATCAAGGATCCCGCACAAACAGCGTTCTCGTCTCGAAGCAACGCGAGCGTTAACCTCGATACCATTAACGAGTTTCTACTCATCGATTCGAGCCGCGAAAAGAAAATGCGTCAACTATGCGCCTCTTCCTTTCTTTTTCCGTAACTTGGCCGAGACGAAACAACGCTTACTTACTTTCTCGGCTATTGTACATATCGAAGATGTTTATCAACGATACTTGGCCTTTTCTGCTTTTCTTGACTGCCGACCACCGAGTATTTCACGTTCCTAACAAGTACCTATCTACCTATCTACCTATCTCTCTACCTACCTACCTACCTACCTACCTACCTACCTACTTACCTATCTATCTACCTACCTATCTACCTACCTACCTAATCTATCTATCTATCTATCTATCTATCTATCTATCTATCTATCTATCTATCTTTCTACCTATCTCGTTGCCATTGTTCGTAAAAGTGCAAAACCTTTACGACGCGCAACAGTGGAAGAAACCTGGAAATCGGTGCATGAAAATCAATTTTATCTTTCCTTCAAATTCAATCTTTATTACTATAAATCTTTATTATTACAACAAAGATGGATTCTCGTTTCGAAAATATCATGGTGTAAAGGTGAAAGAGGAACGGAACGCAATCGCTTTTGCTTTCTTTCGCGTAACGAGCCCAAGGTCGTGCGAAAATCTCGAATGGCACGGTCCCTGAAGAGAAATTTTGCTTACGACGCGAGACCGTTTCCTTCGAATCGGTCGCTACGTGTCGACGCGAAGACGACGAGGCTGAAGAGCAAGCGGGTATATCGTTGCCCCGCGAGCGATATCTCGCCTCTTTCGAAACGAACGTTTCGTCGTCCATTCCTCCTCGCTTCCCCCTCGCCCCCCCCGCCGCCGCCCCCTCCTTCCCCTCCCCTCTCCCTCTCAATAGCGTAGCGCGACCAACGCTAGCAAAGTATATACGAAACGCTCGAATCGTAAACATAGTTCGATCGGGATATTTGTTCGAAATAAACGGGGCTCGAACGTTGAACAGACACGGCCATTTCCGACTCGAAATTTATTTTCTTTTCCAATTCTGCGACGCAACTTCTCGGTTTTCCACGAATCGTCACAGGCCGTTCGCTTCTCGACCTTGGACCACCGTTACTAATCGTCGTTTACTAACGCTTTCTTGTCCGATCTTATCTTTCGAGTCCTCGACCACCACCGATGCTTACCCTTATGATTTATGGATCCGTTAACGTCCATAAACCGTCGTTTCTCTCTCTCTCTCTCTCTCTCTCTCGTCTTCCAACCGTTACCGGAGAGATTCGGCCGCGAAAGAAAAACAATTGGAACAATGAAATCGAGGAGAATTTTTCCAAATTCCACGATTCCTGTTCGGGATTCCTTGTTTCTCGATTTGTCGAAATTGAAACTCGGGAACGTTGTTGAGGTCGGATTGCGACGCAATCTCGAGCCGTGAAAAAGGAAGAAGGTTGCGGCGTATGGTCGGCGCGTAATCTCGATCGCGTTTCCGGAAACGAGCCGCGTATCCTGCTTCAGCCTGGCCGAGCAGAAAACGGCGGAGGAGGGTCCGGGAGGGGGGGAGAGAGGAGGGACGACTCGAAGCCGCTCTCAAGCGGCGAAGGGGCAAGGGGGCAGGTTTTATCGGTATATGGCAAGCTAATTAGCGGCGTTCGCAATCAATCGCTTCCGGAGGCGGTTACGACCGCTCGTTTTCCGTCCTCCTTTTTAACCCTGGCCGATCGATCGCCCCCTCGCAATCGGAAACCACCGCGTTTCCGCGCGATCCGCAACGCGGGCGAAAAAGTAGCGTCCCTACTTATTAACCGATTAAATCATCATCGCGTTCGAGAGGGACGGAGTCGTCCGTTCTCTCTCCATCCGCCTCGCCGTCATCCTCGCCATTAATTAACCAGTCGGGAAAGCGGAATCGCGGCGCCACGATGAATCACGGCGACGAATCACTCGGCCTCGGTTTCTTCTTCGGCTACGCCGATTCAGCAGGAAAATCGTTGCTCTCGATCTCCGCGATGTCCGATTCCCTCGTGGCACCGAGTCGTCCTATCGCGTGGCTCAGCCGACTCTTCAGTTTCGCCACCTCTCTCTCGGACGTTACGGGAACCAAGCCGGTCCACGTGCACGATCTCGTCTCCGAAAATCCACCACCCTTCCTCGACACGGACTTGAGCAACGCGGCCAGCCCCGCGTTCGCGATCTCCTCCCAATCCTTTCCAATCGAACTCGATATATATATATATATATATATGTATATATAAATTGTACAGGTAAAAGAAAATTCTATTTTACCTACCGTTCGGTCGGACGGCTCGAATCCTATAGCCGCTCTTAGCGCCTCGTACTTGTCCTCGGCCACGTTCAATCGTAACAAAGCCAACAACAATTCGACGTTGCATCGAAGCTCGTGTCCGCTTCGCTCTCGCTTCTTTTTTCGAATTAATCAATTAATTAATAACTCGGATAAGCTAACAATCGAATTCGACTTACCTCTCGTAATTAATAACTCGGATAAGCTAAGATAATCGGATTCGACTTACCTCTCGTGCCTTGGCGAGATCCTCGAGGCGCGCGAAGATGGAGCTGCACGTGGATTCGAAGAGGAAGGGTAGGCCGGTGTCGGTCAACGATCGCTCGCTCCTCTCTCTCACGATCCTCACCATCTTTCTCGCGATACTTCTCAACTGATTGGTCAACAATCCGATCTCGTTCTATCCTCGAAAACGGAAACGCGTGAAATCTCGTCCCGTCTCGTCTTTCCTCCATATATCTTACCGTTATCTCCTCGATCTCTCGCCTAGCCGCGAAATGATCGTCCATCCCCTGATGCACCGATCGAACGTGATTCGCTCCTACATTTTCCCCCTCCCCCTTCTTCCTCGCCGATCTGTCGATCAACCGGCGCACGATCAACGTCGAGGACGAAGCGTCGTTCGACTGGACGCGGTAACGGTTATTGGCAACGCCGGACACCACTGTCACCCTGCGATCCGAATTCGCGTGGCTCAAACCCACCGCGTTCCACCCTTGCCTCTGCGCCGACTCTGCGTCCGCCCATACGAATTCTACGCAGATTTTTTTAACCCTTTTTAAAGAAGCGCGTCCAGCTTTATCATTTTATAAAATTTAAAAATTAATATTATTATTTTTAAAATTATTACTTAAAAATTAATATTTCGTACACTTATTACAGGTGACCTGCTTCTCGTATGTTATCTCGACCGTTTGCCGTTACAAAAAATTATTTCCGTTATTATTATTATTACGTTTTGAACGATTGAAATTATCGAAACTAACTTTTTATTCGTAAGCTTCGACAATTAAATTTCATTGATTCCGGACGATGGAAAAAAAAAAAGGATTCTTCCTCGATCCTTGAAATAAAAAATTTGTTTGAAAGCGTGCGTTGTTGTTATTATTATTATATACCGGGAAACAGTTGGGTGGAGGGGAGGGTCGATGGAGCGTTGCTTTTGATCAAGGTCACGAAGGAGGAGGATTTTTCGGGCGGGCAGCTTCTCAACGTCATTTTAATCGGTATTTGACCGATTTTTCTCACTGCTCGCAGCGCACCCTCCTCCGTCCTATACGTGACCACCACGATCACGTCCATCGTGTACGATGGCCAATCCCCTTCCACGCTCACCATCATCCTCCTCGAGTGGTTCTCGTCTGAAGATCGAATTAAAAATTCCACAGAATTAATGATAGAAGATATACCAGATTAGAGAGAGAAAGAGAGAGAGAGAGAGAGAGAGAGAAGGAGATACGCTCACAGAGATTGGGAACGGTGTAGAAATCGACGCTGGCGAGCAAAGGTTTCGAAACGTGGACGCAAACCTGAACGTCTCGAAGAGTGGCGTACGAGGACAATTGTACGACAAGCTCGGAAACGGGCGACGGATCCGAGTCCATGGACTCGGTATTTATCGTCACTACGAGCTCCGCCTCCGCTCCAGCGTCGCTCGTTCGATCCTCTGGCGATCCGAGAAAAAACAAGGCGATCGATTCGTATCACGAAAACTGAAAATAAAATACGTACCCTTTCTCGTACGCACGCTTTCTCGAAGCTTCGACAATTCTTGTTCAGCGGCCGTGTAATCGTAGCCCCGCGGGTGAAGGGGGGGGGCGACGAACAAGCTCGGCTCCGAGCCTAGGTAGCAAGCCTCCAACCGACCGTCCGCCGATAGAACGACTACAGCGCCCTCCAAGTGCTGAAAAATAGTGCGTGGAAAACTTCTCCTCTTCCACTATTCTCCCTCCCTCCCTCCCTCCCTTCCACTCACCCGAAGTTGGACTCGGGCCACGGCGACAGGCGTGAAGGGCAATTGTGCCGACCATTTCAACGTGGTTCCCTCGTAGATCATCAGAGTACCCGTGTCGGCGATCACCAACACCATCAACTTTCCATCCGGTTCTGAGAACGAAGTGAAAAAGAAACATAGATAACAATAACATAAAGATACGTAACAATACCTTCTTCGAGAAATTTATCGAATTTATTATTGTTGTTATTATTATTATTATTATTATTATTATTACTACCGATCACGTATGCTCGAGAACATACAGGCCTGTACTCGAGTCTTTTCGCGTACTTGACCGAGGTGCAGTTGTCCTTTAGACAATAGAGGTGCCTCTCGCCGAGTACCACGATCCCGACCTCGAAACTGGTCAAAGTGACAGCCTCGATGCCGAGGATCGGTTCACCGATGTTGCACGTCCAATCCGGTTCCAAACTGCTGCTGGATCTTCCATGTCCCTCCTCCACGCCGTCTTTGTGACCGATCCTCGACCACTCAGCCATGCTTTGATACCTGGATAAACGGTGTTCTAAGTTTTTCCTCTTTCAAGCTAGGTAGAACGAATCCACGTGCCTGTGACATTCGAGTATCCAAGAGGAGGTGGCTGCCACGAAGAGATCGTATCGGGATACGTAGACGATCGGCTCGGCCAGCAATCGATTCCTCGTCGTGTGGCTGAACGCGAACATCTCTTGCTCATAGAACAAAAAAGTGCCGTCCAGGCATTGAACGCAGAGAAAATCCCTGCCGCGGACCCCGCCGAATGGCCCAACCGTCAACGAGGCCGGGAATCTCGGCAATCGATGCTCGTAAGCGATCCTCAACTCGCATCGATCCCCTGCCGATCGAAACGCCTTCTATATTCCATACGATTGGTTCTTTCGCCAATTTTTTTTCAATAATCGTCTCGAGAGCATCTATATATGTATATGTATACTAGTTCCTCAATTTACAAAAAAAAATATAATGTACTTTTATCCTTATCTCATACAACGTTTCGACATTGTCGAGTAAGTTACTGTATATACACTTTTTTTACTTTTAAAACTTTTAAAAAAATATATTTTCTGGCCGCGTAAATTGAGATGTATATCGCGAAAGTACGAGAATGGGTAGGGAGGGGGAAAGGGAATAGTACCGTATTCGGTTTCGGATCCCTCGACCAGAGTCATGTCGTAGATGAGCAGCTTCGAATCGGTCAACACGGCTAGCCGCAGATCCTGCGATCCCCTGCAATCGTTTAAATTAACCTTCGATTGTTTCGAATACTCGTGTACTACTCACGAAACGAATTTGCCCGTTTTAACGTCCACGATGCAATCGCCGACTCGTGTCTCGATCATGAGATCGGTCGATTTGTAGTTGGTCGGTGATTTCGTTTCGTCTATCCATCGAGAGGACGGGTCGTACATCCTTAGGTAACCATCGTGACTAGTCACCACAATGATATCGTGGTGTCTTTCTTTCCCGAACAACGGCGCTGCCATCAAGCTATGCCTGTCGAAACTTTCGTTTGCTCCACATCTCGTTTGCCACCATTCTTTCGTCTTGAACAACGACATCGTTCTCGAATGAATAGAAAACGCGACACTTATCTCTCTCTGTTTCCCTCTTCCTCCAATCGTTACCATGGAGTCGATGCGCCAAAACATCGTGCTCGAGTCGATCGTTACGTAATCAAGGTCGGAATTATTATATTCGTTCGATCGAAATTTTTAACGGATCGAGCGATTTTTCGATCATTCTTTCTCTTTTTTTTTCTTCTCGATTGTTATCTAGCGATTATTAACGAACGATTCGACTCTGATTTTGAAAGTCGAGTCGTATTTACCGCTGCGGCTTCGTTAGTTAGTCCATCTCATCGGTAGATGGCGAAACTTTACGGAATGAAGTACGCGCGTCGTTGACATACAACGGAGTGAACGTGTTCCGACTTCGATCGATGTTTCTTCTTCAAAGGAACGAGGAAAGTTGGACGAAACTACAAACAACGATATGGAACCGCAAGACGTTTATTACAGCAAAGCAGAATACGTGGAAACGGTAAGTAAACGATCGAAACGTTGAACGATATTTAGCAATGATAAAAAAGAATATACCTAACCTCTTCTTTCTTCTTCCCCTCTCTTTCGATTTTGACATTTTTCAGGCATCGGGGAATAAAGTGAGTAGACAGACAGTGTTATGCGGATCGCAGAATATCGTGTTGCACGGGAAAGTGATCGTACAATCGGACGCTATTATCAGAGGCGATTTGGCGAACGTGAGGACGGGACGTTATTGTATCATCAGTAAGAACGCCATCATAAGGCCGCCGTTCAAAAAGTTCAGCAGAGGGTTGGTAATCGATCGATTCGATCAATTCGTAATCGATATATTAACGATGTACATATTCGTTCGTCTCGTTTCCTTAGCGTTGCCTTCTTCCCTCTGACGATGGGTGATCACGTTTTCGTAGGGGAAAGAGCAGTGGTTAACGCAGCCATCGTCGGTTCTTACATATATATTGGAAAAAATGCAGTAATCGTACGTATCGATATATCATGCGCAACGTAAGAATTTATTT